TGTAACTTCAAAGCAGACTTAATTGGAATTATTAATGGCATGCTTGTTTAATAGTTGAAATTTATTAATGGTGTGTAAATGTTTTTGGTATTGTTGATAAATATGTGGCTTAAACCACTTGACATGTGTATGTGATCTCGTTTATTAGCCGACAACATCTTTCGAATTTTTGATTAGTGAACACTTTGTTTACATATTTTCAATGTGTACAATGATCATTCATACATACTACTTTCCTTGGGACGAAAAATCCATTTTTTAAGAAAATAAGAAATTGTAAGTAAACTAAAAAAACATCTTCAACGAAAATACATCAAATGCAACTCACCAACCACATAATTCATTTCTTCAGCACAATCCACTCCCCCTTACAAACACATACCAATCATACCATTTACATCACTGCAAGAATGAGGTTCTAATCTAGCAACAACAATACCAGACTGACTATTGATCTCTGCAACATAACAGTAACGTATTTTTATACGAAAAAAGGTCATGTTGAAACACAGTGAACGTAGTAAATGCAACAGAAGTTTATGAACATAACAATTTTTTGTATCCAAAACAAATAAAATATACTAAAACATAAATAAACTATATAAATTGTAAATGAACTGTTGATCTACAAAAATAGAGCGTCATGTATCATCTCGACTTACAACAATACAAGGGACAAAATTTAAACAATTATTAAGAGAGAAATGCCAATATAACAAAAGAAATCAATAAAATTTACATCAAATTAACCAATACACTTATCACTGAAATCATCACTTAAAATCTTCAATACAACTCCATCCACTAATAACACCTCTCATATACTTCATCCTTCGAGAAATCTTCACCTTTTTTATAAACATTTACTTCTTCCTCTTCCTCTTCATCTCGTTGCATTCTCTAATACATTTTCTTAGATAATCTTTCAATTCATCCCACCACTCTCGCCAATCAAGAGCATCTCACAAATCACCAACAAAATTCATAGTCTCGGCAAAGACCTATCGTGAATAGAAATGACATTTATCACTAATCTGGATAAATAAAAAATGGAAATCAACAAAAACGAAAAACTTAGAAATCGAACAATTTGTATATTTTCCCAACACACTTAAACATTAAGCACATATATGAAATATAGCAACATAAATAACTATAAGAATTGCAAGAAAACATAAAATTTAAAACATAAACTTTAGAGCATCACAAATGAATTAGATATTATATAATTAAATTAGATAAAATGCCCAAATAGTAAAAAATATGGAATTTATGTTGGAGGTCAACGGTTTGAATCACATTCCATGTGAATATTAAAAAGTTTATGATTGGACTTCGGACTTAGGCTTTTGGGTTGCTCTGATTAAAATAAATTTTATTATTATTATTTTAATCGTTTTCGATTTTTTTTTTGTTCAAATTAGCCTGTAAAATATGGCAATTGAAGAGGTACTTGGTGATATAGTAAAATCATAAAACCAAAATTTCATTTAGAGTGTTACATGATGTTTTATTGAGGGTTCTGGAAATCATTTGTGATGTGTAGAATTTACATTCCTAATTGCTTGATGTTAAATTTATATGATGTTCACTGGTCATGTATATTTTTCTAAGGAATTATGGAATTCCATAGAAAAGAAGTATGATACCGAAGATGCTAGAACTAAGAATTTTGTTGTGGAAAAATTTCTTGATTTCAAAATGGATGATATTAGAACTGTAGTTAGTTAAGTTAAAGAATTACATATTGTAATTCATGAAATTATTGTTGAAGATATAAAATCTGTGAGGGTTTTCAAGTTTTTGCTATTATTGAAAAACTATCACCTACTTGAAAAGAGTATATAAATAGTTTGAAGCATAAGAAAAAAGAAATGTTTTTAAAGGCTCCGATCATCAGAATTAGAATTGAGGAAGACATCAGGATGACAAAACGTAGGGAGAAACTAGATTTGGGTACCTGGGCTAATCTTATTGAAGGAAATTCTGGTAACAAGAATTTTGTTGGAGATTTTTCAAAAGGTCAGAATTTTAAGGACAAAAACAAGGAAAAGAAATCCGTGAGGAAAAACAATCGATCTAACCCCATTTTAAAAATAAAACTATTGGTGATTATTTGTCTGTGGTAAACCAGGTCACTTTGTATTGGGTTGTAGAAATAAGGAAGGAAAAGTTGTGGAGAATTAGGCGCATATAGTAGAGGATGGGAACTTTGCTGTGGTGATGAAGCTAATCTAATAAGCACATGACATAATGGTGGGTAGATTGGGGAGCTATCGAGCAGATTTGCTGCACGAGAGGTGCATTATCTTCATTCACTTATGTTAGTGATGGAGAATGTCTATTCATGGAAAATTCTTCTTCCTTCAAGTTCGAAGGGAAATGAATTATGACGCTTAAATTTACTTCTGGAAATATCCTTAATTTGAAGGATGTTCTTTATGACCTGATATTAGGAAAATTCTAGTATCTGTGTTCATATTAGTAAAGAGGTTTAAGATCGTATTTGAGAGTGATAAAGTTGTACTTTCTAAAAGTGGTTCTTTTGTTGGGAAAGAGTCTGCAGATAAGAGTTTGTTTAAACTTAATGCTTCTGTGATTAATAATAAATCATTTACTCAATGCGTTGCTATGTTGGCTGCTTAAACCAGTTGACGGAGATGCCCTCCATTTTGATCTTGGGGGCAAGATTGTTAGATTTTCTATATACGAGTTTGCCCTCATCACCGGATTGATGTGTACAGGGGAAGAAGCAGCTCGGGCCCGT